ACATTCCTCACCGTTGTCCAGACGTATGTTAGCACTCGATTGTCCAGAATGGTCACTGACCGCCACCGGGAAGAATGTTCCAAGTCGACCGTACAGGTTGGAGTTAGGTGCGACTACTGGGTCTGCACCAAAGAATTCAGTGTCCTGAAAGATTGTGACTCGGCTCGATACAGACGGGAAGTGAAGGTTTTCGTCTTACTTCTGGCAGCAATTTCCTCAACTGCTGCTCCACTCTGATATCGGCACCGATTCCCAGTGAGACGATAACGCTCGGTTCGCTAGTCTGAAAGAAGCGAAGTTACTGAGATGGACTGATAACCGGTCATTGATGTAGCAGAGGGTCGTGTTGGGAATTTGCATTCAGACTTCGCAATAACGCGCATCGACGCGCTGTAACGCGCTACAATTGCGACAGCGTCCAAGGCTGTAGACGCGAACGCAGCCGCAGACAGCAATCGATCGTAGCCGGCCGTTTGGGGGCACAGGAGGGTACGCGGCGACTAACCACGCACTATGGTATCGATCGGCATTGGCCACTAGGGCGGCGCTGATAGATTTCCGCGGCTGCGTTCACGGCCCTAGGATTGGAGCGCTGTTAGAACTGTAGTGAGTTAGAGCGCGTTGACGCGCGTCATTACGATGTCTGAACGCTGCCATACTACACATACATGTGCCACACTAGCGCCCGGAAAGTTGAGGTGCTAAACAAGAGCAACTTACGTCTTGGCTAAGGATGTAATGCTTCACTTCGTCGTCATTCGGTAGCTCAATGAGCTTGATTCTGTCCACTTCGGTACTCGATGTGCATTCCTTCGTCATTTCGGCAAATCCCTCCCAAAGCTGAAAGAAGAATTGTGAAGTCTGCAGGGTATGACTAGAAATAGTCGTTTGCACTGGAGTCACTTGGGGCATGTCTGTGGACATGGCTTTGGCGCAGTGCCAGTGCGTCTTCCGTCTATCGTTGCGGCCTCCGGCGTTCAATGAGTGATGGGAAAATGGCTGGCGCCGCGCCAAAACTACACGACGCTGACAAGCCCCGCCTGGCTTCAGTTAAAAGAACTGTGGAGGCAATCTGGTACCTTTTGTGGGTTGTCTTTCAAGCTGTCGAATTGCTTTGTCATACAGTTCTTCCACTCAGTGAATGCCTCTGATACTTTGTCGGGAATCGGGGAAAATCGTGACATCGTCCGTGACAAGCTGAAGATCACTACAACTGCCAACAACGCACAAACAATACCGCGAGTCGCTGTGAAGCGCATCCCTGAAAATACAACCTTTCAAGGCAGAAATCGTACGTGTATCAGGTGGAACATGTGCGAAACGAGCAATGTCTGGGAATATGCGGAGTTGGCTCTTTACCGCCACCTTTTCCAAGAACTGATCGCCCACGGCTGATATGCTAGCATGGCTCGACTGTGATCTGGTCGCAGGCGAGAATTGAACTGGCCTACCTGTTAGTTGACAAAGAACCACAGGCCGCGCAGCGGACTGAAACTGCTGGCAAGTTCACAGTTTTCCTCTGGAAGAGCGCGAGCACCGACTAGAGTCCACGCAGTGTTGCCTAGATTGCAGTGGAACGTACTTGCTGGTAATACCTTCAACCCCCGAGGCTTCTTCAAAAAGCTAGCTTTGAGATGGTTCAGCGTTAAGCCGATTGTTTTGCTGGTTCATTTTTCGACTTCCCTTATAGTAACACATGATGGATAACGGAAGACAAGTAAATTACTAGCAGACTAAAATCCGGATCTACCGAGTCCCCTACAGGTCCAGTGGGCTGAGGCGCCTCAACCTCGCTTTCGCTTTCATGGAAGTTCACTTTGAAAATTCAGTTACTTCACAGCTCCCAGTTAGCTCCAACAGAGAAGCAAACTCCCTGGGAGATCATCTCAATAATGGATGGAGAAATGCTATTATTGTATAGCAGATTAGAGTTTTTGCTCAGGGTCCAGTGTGTAAGCGAGTGGTAAGGAGAATCCTGGTGGGAGAAGTCAGTTTCACTCACCACCTTGTGGCGTCACCGATGGCTGGGGCGGCCCGTTGCTGGCCAATGTCACTGGTGGAACTGTCGAGGAATGTGCCCTCTCGCAGTCCTTCCACCATTGAAGGTGGCAGCAACAGCCCCCTCTCCCAAGCCATGGCGGCCACTGCCCTTCAAGGTGTTTCATTAAGCTTATCTCAGTTCCATATCCTTCAACCGCCTTTAACCGCCTTGAGCCCAAGGAACTCCGATCGCCCATGAGAAGCTCCTTGGCCGACTGCCGCATTAATCCTCTTATCTATAGCAATCCCAATTTCGCATGGAAAGTCCTTCGTATGCCCCCTCCTCCTACTGTGGCAGATTAACGCCTAAAGACAAGTTGATCAAAAGGACATTTAATAGTAAGCTGCATAAAGGGTTAGGGGCGCAGTTCGGCGACGGGGGGGGATTTTGCACTCCGACCTGTCTAAGAGCTCTTTCATGAGCAAGACAGAGCTGACGGATTTCACAATGGCTTCTAGACGAGCTTATTCCAGCTTAACAAATGTTCACAGGATTTCACCAGAGCGGAACTTTAACCGGAGGGTTGAGAGTTTATCAATGAAAGTGGATACGCCATACATTTGGCACCTACATAAAATTATAGGAATGTTTGAATAGTATTTGTATATCACAATGTAAGGGAAAATGAGGAGGTTCAGGTGAGATAGTGAGCGAGCAGCCGCAGGAGAAAGGAGAGTAAATGCCACACTCCAAGAGCCAACCGACTGAACCCCGGTCTGGGCTTGGAGTGAGTGGGACTCATGGATACGGGAGAAAATGAGCATTTCTAGTTTTGCCTTTTGAGACAGCCCATATGATTATATATGAGAACAATGAGATCTTATCTACGGTATCTTCGGTTGAACAGGAAATGTACCGAACGGAAATGTACCCGGCATACGCTATGCTGATCGCGCCCACTGATCATGGGATAAATGGCGAGAGTGAAACGACGTGTCCATTCTTTTCCCTGGATCAGATTGATTTTGCTTTTACACTACCATTAAAAAGGTTGAAATGATGTAGTAGCTAGTGATCCCGCTACAGTAGGCATTGAGGTATTCTCAGAGAGGAGTCTTATTTTGATTGGGAGGGGGGAGGGATATCAGATAGTGGAAGCACAGGTCTGTTTGACCTTGTATTCGACCAATGGGAAACCCTGGGGGGGGGGAGAGGTAGATTCTGTTATTGAGAATTTCCTCATGAGAATGTTGCGACGCGCCTTGATTATCGCGCATGCTGAGGAGGTGGGGGGGGGGTCAATTAGGTCGAAATTAACCTGGATCCCTCTACTAAGCTTTTCGTCCCTCCTGGAATGGTACCAGATCTGCCTGGGATAGTGAGTACAATCTGGGGATTTCCACGGCAGCTAGTCCTGCAAATAAGCCCAAGCTAAATTATTTAGGAATGGAGTTGCAACTTCGAATGTGAGCCGAGTGCATGGCGCGCTCCGGCATGGGCTATTCGATGCTGGAAACTTCACCTTTTTATCCTCAATCATCAGTTTAGCCATGCTGAATCCTGAAATAGTGATATACAAGGG